TGCTTATGCAGAGAGAGTTAACAGGAAGCGTGACTCCATGTTTCCAGTTAGCTTTATACAGTCTCCGGAGAAGCAGAGGTGGGAGGGGGAACCCTGGACCAGCAGAGTTGATGTTTTCGTATGAGGCAACGCTGCGGACACAAATAAATGCCGTTGCCCATGATTCCTCCTGCTTCCTTTGCCCGGAGACAAGAAGGTGAATCTCCTGGAGAAGATGAACGAAAGGTCACCCTGTTTCCTGGGCTGTCTGGACATGCTCTGCCTATCTGTCCCAACTCCTGCTCAGTGATGCAGTCATGGCACCGAATTACGAATCGGGAGTGAGTCCATTGTTTGTCATGGGCAAAAGTGCCGGATGCTGTTAACCACCTCTTTCTGCTTGTGGGAGAATATCTAAATCAGCGGTTCTCAACCTGTGGGTCATGGCCCCTTTGGGGGTGGAACAACCCTTTCACAAGGGTCACCTGATTCATAACAGTAGCAAAATTACAGTGATGATGTAGCAAGGAAAATAATTTTATGGTTGGGGGTCACTACAACATGAGGAACTATGTGAAAGGGTCGCGGCATTGGGAAGGTTGAGAGCCACGACCCTAAATGCTCTGAAATCGTGACAAGCAGTTTTCTTCTCCCTGTGTGGCAGCAGCTGCAACCTGCAGAGGGCCAGCTATTTGCAAAATGGATGCAAAATGATACTGCAAACAAAAAAAATTGTCTTTGTCACATTCTGATAACAAAACAAAGCAGGCCCTTAGATAGGTTCAGATTCAAATGATTTATCCAAATCTTTGTATCATTTGGTATTTACTGTGACACCCTTACTAAGGCCCAGCCCCTCTCAGGCTGCAGCTCATCGTCGTCCTGGCTGGCCCACCCAGTGCCCCCACTGCCACTGGGCCCATGCTGACTGACAGCAACCCTGCATAAAATTCTCAGACTAAATCTTTACAGGAACAGACAACCGAATCTTTCTCCTGCAGAGCAGCTGGTGGGTTTGAACTGATGACCTTGAAAGTAGCAGCCAACTGCCTAACCCACAGTGCTACTCAGAGCTCCTTCTGGGTTGGCCTCCAGAAATCAAAACCAAACTCAACTGCCATTGAATCGACTCTGACTCATCGTGACCCTATAGGACAGGGTGTAACTGCCCCTACGGGTTTCTGTGACTGTAACTCTACTAGAAAGCCTCATCTTTCTCCCAATGAATAAGCTGGTGATTTTGAACTGCCGACCTTTCGGTTAGTAGTCCAACACATAACCCACTATGGCACCAGGGCGCAGTGTCCCCCTTCTTCAATAGAGTGTTACGGATTGAATTGCGTTCTACAAAATAATGCTTTGAAGTCTGGAAGCCCTGTAACCGGGGATGCAATCCTATTTGGGAACAGGGCTTTCTTCGTTGTGTTAATACGCGTACATCAGTGTAACTCAAAATCAAACTCAGTGCCCAAGTGGATTCTGGCTCATCGCGACCCAGAGTAGAACTGCCCTGTGGCTTTCAACATTTAGGGGAGCAGACAGCCTCGTCATTCTCCCTTGGGACAGCTGGTGGGTTTGAACCACTGACCTGCTTAGCAGTGCTGTGTGTAGCCCACTACGCCACCATGGTCCCTATATCAGTGTAGGGCGTGTCCTGAACCTAATCACTTTCATGAAACAAGTAGAGCAGAGTTGACATAGAAGCAAGCAAGCCAGTTGGGGGATGGAAGTGGCTAGAGACGATCACAAGGAACCCGGGAATAGAAAGAGACACGAGAGAGTTGTCACTAGAATCCGTACCCTGAATTCAGAGTTCTAGCCTCCTAAACTGTAAGGAAATGAGATTTCTGTTCTTTAAACACACACCCATTGGCCCTAGGGAACTGTAGATCGTGGGTGAGGTGGGGAGCCCTGAGTCCCTCGTGGAGCTGTTTGGGAGTAGGAAATCTGGGGATTAGCAGATTCAGGTATTTGGGTTGGAAATGTTTCCCCAGTGATGGGGCTAAATATTTGCCATGACAGCTCAAGACTCACTTCTGCAGCTTGACATGCATGAAAGCAGCCCCCTGCCGGGCCCCTCCCACTGCCCCCAGAGGATTAAACTGCCTGAGCAGACAATGGCAGCCCTAAAAGGCTCTTTTGCATGACTCAGATTAATGCATACTGTCCGTTGCCCAACTTGGCAGCTAAACAGGATGGTTTGTTTTTTTTTTAAGAAAAGAAAAGCAAACCTTCCAGATGACAACTCTTTTCAGATGAGATGAGGAGTCTGTCTGAAAAGGATCAGGAGACAGACAGAGTCCCAGTCCTCCTGGCAGAAGGAAGCCCAGGTGGGGCTGGGGGCAGGGATGAGGGCAGACACAAAGCCCCCAGAGGGTGAAAAGGTGAAGCAGACACAGGGTATTGGGAGTGTCGGGTTCTCAAAGCTGTAGGTCAGTCAGCCACTTCCCTTTCATGTGTCCTAGCCCCCTGCCCCGCCTGGAGGGTGCTGCCACTTTTCAGGCCTGAGCTCCTGGGGACCAGTGAGGGGTGGGATGTAGGGACGTCTTCCTGCCAAGTTGAAGAGCAATGTCTCAAGGTGCTGCTCGCTCAGGAGACAGACTTGGCCTTCTCCTGTAGAGTTCTAGGCTCAGAAGGGCCTCTAGGTTTGCTATGAGTCAGAATCGACTCCGTGGTAGTAAGTTTGCTTATAACCTCCCAAGCCATAAAATGTCCTTAAAAAAACAAACGCTAAAAAAAAAAACCAGTTGCCATGGAGTTAATTCTGACCCATGGGGCTGTCATGGTCATGACCTTCAGGGAACCAGATGGTCTGGTTTTCCTTCCCTGGGGTCTCTGGGTGGGTCCAAGCCACCAACCCTGGGGGTTCGTAGCCTGATGTTCACCATGTGCAGCACCCCTGTGTGTGCCCCTAAGCTGTCTTTACTCCGCGATATTCAGAAGCATAACCCAAACGTGATGGGCATTTTAGAGTTGCCTGGACACCCCAACTGTTGTCAATTCCGATGCCTGGACACCCCAACTGTGTGAACGGAACTGTGCTCCACAGGGTTTTCAGCAACTGGTCTTTGGGAAGCAGATCTCCGGGACTTTCCCCAAGGTGCTCTTGGGTGGACTCGAACCACCAGCCTTCCAGCCAGCAGCCACATACATTAACCATTGGCACCAACTACAGAATCCATATATATGGATATGTACACACACACACACACACACACACACACACACACACACACGTCGCCCGTATAGCTGAACCCTGGTTATCTCAGAGCTGGCTTCTAGGGTTCTTAGACTATAGAGAACCTGCCTTGGATGGTGACCAAGCCAATGGATGTAATGGATCCTGAGGCACACACTGACAGCAGGGGAGTTTCCAAGGAAACAGTTGTGGTGTCACAAGCCACTGACAAGACGAGTCAGAGAAATCTGACGATCGATTGCCTAGGAAATCTACCAGCCTCTCACATCTTCAGAAGCAACAGGCTGAACAGCAGGCATCCCTACGTGACTCCCTCGACACGCCGGCCCTGCAGGTGCTGTGGAAATGCTGGCAGAAAAGAATGGGATGGCTGAGCCACGGGGCTGGCTTTCCCATTGCACTGTGGCACCCAAGAACCCTTTCAGGCAGTGCTTCTCAATAGTGTTTCCTCTCAGGGGGACAGCCGACTGGAGAGGAGCTAGGCTGCTAACCACAAGGTCAGCAGTTTGAAACCACCAGCCAGTCCGTGGGAGAAAGACGAGGCTTGCTACTCCTGTAGAAAGTTGCAGTCTCCGAAACCCACGGGGGCAGTGCTATCCTGTCCTACGGAGTCACAGGGAGTCGGCATGGACGCGATGGTGGTGCGTCTGATTTTTGTTTTAGTTTGGAGTTGTCTGTGATTGCCACAGCCCTAGGGGAGGCTGTGCTCCGGCACTTGGCAGTCAGGGGTGCTGCTAAACATCCTGCAATGCCCAGGACAGCCCCGCAGGGAAATGTCTCTCAAACTCCCACATGCTGCTGTGGAGAAACCCGCTCACGGTGTCTGTCAGGCACCGAGGAGAAGCGAAGACCGGGTGGAATCTCAGGTGTTCCCCATCGTGTGGAACACACCACGGGCCCCTCCGTACATGGCAGCCCTGGCTGCTTTGCCCCCCTTGCCTGGCCCCTGATTGGGTATAAGAGCTGAAAAGGCCAAATAGGCTCGCCCCCTCCCGGGCCCCCCCACCCCCATCAGTCCACGTGCAAGTGCGTTTTCAGCTACTGTGATGCTGAGGGCATGCTACACAGACTGAGTGTCTGCTTGGCCCGGTTCCAGTCCCAAAGCCCCGCACGCCGAGTTTCCTTTTTGCTTCCCACAAAGGTGTTTTTCTCCGGCGCCCGATTGTTTCCTTGTCCATGAGCGAAAGTTGATCGCCAAGCCCGAAGGGCTTGCAGGTTCAATGACTAATATTTAATGAGCTTGTACTGACAGCGCGGTGCCAACTGGGACGGCCGCCTGAGCTTTCACCGTGTCCCTTGCTCTCACCTGGCTCTGCGCAGCTCCTCCTTTCTGCTGGAGTGGGAAAGTTTCCGTGCACCTACTGGCAGCCCGTTGCTACATGGGCCGTGACAGTTCCCCATGCCTCCCCCTGCCCCCCACTGGCCAGTTCCACCTTTCCCCCAGTCCAGAGTCACTTGGAACCCTAAATTCTAGAGGCGGACCACTGACATGACTTTTGATCCTGTTAACCCTTTGACTGCCACCGTGTCCTGCCAAACATGAGCCATCCCTATATGCCCAGGGGATTGGCTTCTCCAAGCCAGGTCTGCCCGCACAGGTCCAAGGTCTCACAGGCCGGCCCGTGTCAGAGAGCTCAGCGCTTGGGCGTGGGGCTTAGAGCTGGGATAAACCCATTCATCCATGGCTAGCTAGCCAGGCCCCGCTCAGAGCACCAGGTGGCCTCTGTGAACCCTGTGTTATTCCAACCCCTTGGTGCACCTCTGCTTCTCGAGCCCCTTGCACCTTGCTGGGCAGGAGGGTGTGCATTTGCAAGCAGCTTACTTGAGAGTCGACTGGAAAGCTCAGCAGAGAGGCTTGTCATGCCGCTGGCCCGCCCCGGCGAGATAGGAGTTGCTGGGTGCACGGAAGGAGAGGTGATGGATCCCAGGTACTGGTAAGACTGATCGTAGGACCACGGCGGGGATGGCTGGATCTGCCTGGTATCTGCAGAGAAGCAGGGAGGGCCGTTACAGGTGGAGTGGGCCGGCTTTCAGAAAGCTGAAGAGCCTTTTACTTCAGAAGCCAGTCCCCTCTACTTAAAACGTGCTGCCCACACATCCGATCTGTTTGCCGTTGTTGGTGCTCAGGTCGACGCCAAGCCCGGTGGAGAGAAACCCTGCCTGCTCCTGCACCATCCTCCGCGGCAGCCCTCTGCAGAGGGGCCACTGTGATCCAAAGGGTTTGCACGGACTGATTCTGTCTTTTCACCTTAATCCGAAAGCCCCGCTGAAAACCTGCCCAGCAACAAGCAGTACGCAGGCCTCCGGTGACAGATGGGTGGGACGCACTGAGTGGGAATGGAATGTGCGTCTTCTGGTGTGGGCTGGGAGCATTCCACCACTGTCCCCACTTTTATCACAGAGGCACCTTCTTTATCAGCATTGGATCAGCCCAGGACACCCCATTATTTCTGTTGGCTGGTTCTGCCCCAATAAGAAACAGAGCTATAGGTCCATTTTTTTTTTTTTTTTTTTAGATTTGGAAACTTCCTACTCAAGGTTTTTTAAGCCCTACTGGCTGCTAACCGCAAGCTCAGTACCAGTCTTCCCCTAATTGAAACCAGCAGCCACTCCGTGGGAGAAAGATGAGGCTAAAGTTACAGGCTTGGACACCCACCAGGGCAGGTCTGTCCCGCCCGATAGGATGCTGTGTGTCAGAGTCCACTCAATGGCTGTGAGTTTTGAGATTGATAATGACGAGAGGAGAGGATTACATTTTCAAGGTAGAAGTATTAAGGTCTAAACTGTGTTACTGTACCTTCAACTATTGACTATTCAGACAATTTCGGCCTGATTATTAATTATGGTTATCACTATCACAAAGCATGTGTTCAAATGTTTATCAGCTCAGGTGATCCAACTTTTTATCTGTAATCGGTAAGCAAAAGAGAAAGTAGTGTTTTGTGTACCTTTGGCAAAAATAGACCTGGTGGCACAGTGGTTACGAGTTGGGCTGCTAACTGCAAAGTCACCAGTTCACAACCACCAGCCTCTCCATAAGAGCAAGAGATGTATATGCCTGGGAAGATTTACAGCCTGGCAACCCCACAGGCGTAGTCTGCCCTGTCCTAGAGCATCTCCAGGCATCCAAGTGCGACTCAAGGGCAGTGAGCTTGTTTTAATGGGTTTTAAAAAATGTTTTCTACTTCAATAAAGTTTCTCCCAAGGACAAGGGAAAAAAAATCAAAAGTGTAGCTGAGAATCTGGCAACGAGTTCTAATGATGAGTTTACGGTCCCAGCAGCAGAGAAGCTGACCTGTCAGCCCCGACTAAGGTATGACTCAGCTCCTCTCCAGATCTCAAAGGGAAGACTAAGGGTGAGCCCTGATTGGTGTAGACAGGTAATGCTGGTAACTGAAAGGTTAGAAGTTCCAACTCAGAGGTCTCTTGGAAGAAAGGCCTGGCGAGCTGCTTTAGAAAAATCAGCCTATGGTGCCCAGCTCTGCCGGGTGCACATGGGCACGCCTTGCAGTGGGGTCGAGTCCAGAGCACGGGAGGTCATTTCACAGATTGCTACTAGGTTGTGGTTGTGGGATTAGGTGCCCCCTAGTTGGTTCGGACTCGTAGTGCAACAGAACAAAACACCGCCCGCCCCCCAGTCCCGTGATATTGTTACTATAAGGGATGGAGAGGAAGAAAAATTCCGTGCTGACCTCAAAACATCCAGGCAAAATGGATTTGCACATTTGACTCCAGCAGGCACAAGGGTCTCTGTTTCAAAAGCGGCGCACTCGTTGTAGATGAAAAGGGGACCTCCAGTTTTAGACAAATGGTGTGAGGAGATTTAGACAGGGTCCCACGAGGAGGGGACTTTGCTATTTCCTTAAGGTTCAACGTTCACTTTCTCCTTACAGCCCACGGAGGTTGCCACTAACCTGTTAATCCAGAGAGGCTTCAAAATCAGTGCTACAAGACGCTGGGAGTAGCAGCCCAGGACAATAAAGGAGTTGTTACTACTGAGTAGGAAATAGTTCAGATCTGCTCCCTCCAAGGCTTTTCATTTCCAGCAGCTAAAGTTTGCCTTTCCAGCTTGGCCTCTTTGAAGTCGCCAGAGCGGACAACAGAATCAGGCATTTGAAGGTCCAGACCCAGCTCTCCCTCCTCTCTGTTCTTCCGCCAGCTTGTTCCCCATTTCCCTCTCCCCTGCCCCCATACCTGTCAATTTCCATCTTTCATTTTCTTGAAAAGAACCAAAATTTCAAGTTGGAAAAACTCTAGCAGTTCCTGGGTACATATTTCAGCTGGGAACCTTGGGAAGTCAGTCTTTGAAGAAAGGACTTTGTTTCCTTCTGAATTTTGGAGGTTTTGAAGAGAGATGAGAGAGGAGACGAGAGTTGACCTATTTTAAAAAGGAACACCGAGTGCCCGCTGGACAGCCTACTTCGTCTGAAACCAACAGTGCTTCTACCCCCAGAGGGCACGCCGAAATCGCGGGATGCTGAGCAGTCCGCTAGGACCACGAGAAAAACGCAGCAAAACCCACCGTCTACACTGAGAGGGGCTCCACACACGCATATGTTCGATATACACGCATCTCCTAAGTGACTACATTGTACGCAAATATTTTAATCATTTGAAAGCAAACAAAGGAGATTTTATAATTGTCATAAAGCACTCTGAGGTGTGAATTGTGGCACACTAATTCATGCCTTGTTGTGCAGACAGCCCAGCACCGCTAACCCACGTCTTAAACCACACTAAGCACCCAAGGATTATGCCATGAATCATGCCCCGTCACGTTTTACTGCAGTGAAAAAGTTGTGCGAGCCCTTTCTAAGATCATAATTAGCCCATGCAAACATTGCATAATGCTCCACGGCCTTTTAAAAAATACGCTTTGGTTAAAATGATCTTCATGATTAAAGTCCCAAGTTCTATGATTTTATTTTATTCTAACGCAGGGTTTTAGAGCCAACATATTCTTCCTTCACATCGTAACTTAGCTTCGCAAGAGAAGTTGAGGGCAGGGGCGCCGGGGTGGGGGTGGGGGCGGGGGCAGGGAAGCACTGAAAACCTGAACCCTCCTTAGCACTTGCCTCTCTCATGAGCAGCATGAACTGCGAGTTCCTTGTCGGCGGTGGACCAGAAGGTGGTGATGGTGAGCTTCGCATGTTGGGTTTGGGGTGGTTTCTTTTTCTAAAATAAAGCCCAAACTGAAAATGCAGCAAACGAAGGGGCAGCAACGTAGCATTGCCAATGGCCATCAAGCCCATTGCCGTCCCAGGGATGCCCTGCCTGTGTGAGGAGAACTGCCTTCCAGAAGGGTTCTCAATGGCTGTGATGGGCAAGCCTTTCTTCCGAGGCACCCGTGGGTGGGCTCCAATTCCCAACTCTGGGGTTAGAAGCCGAGTACTTAACCAGGTGTGCCACCCAGGGGTTTCTACTAATCTCTCCTATGCTAGGTGTAATATTCACTTACCACCCTGGCTCTGGGGATGTTCTGAAGGAGAGAAGGCAAGTCACTTTTGTGGGTCACCCTGAGGTTGTGCTGAGGAACAGGGTGCGGACTCTGAGCCCATTCTGTATGGGGGCTCTGGGTCCCTGTGCAACAGGATCATTTCTACTGCGCATGGGTGACGATTCAGGATTCTTACCCTCGGGCCCTACACAGGATCTCACACCGTAACTTGCATGCTAAGTAGTCAGGTGAAGGTGTACAATATGCACATATATTTTACATGTATACTATCGATACATGTAAAGGGAATCTATATATTCTGAGGAGAGGAAACGGAGGGACAAGATAGGTGAGAAAGAGAACTCCAGTCAACTGTCCAGCCAGCAAGGAGACCTGCTATTTTTGAAGGCTCTACCTCTGAGAAGCTAGTCCACCACAAACAGGACACACATTATTGAGGGCATGCTCTGTACCGGCCGCGTGCTAACTGAGCTAGGAACAGAGTGATGGATAAGACTCCCAGGACCCCTCACCCATAGTTCTTAGCTCAGGGCCAGTCTGTCTTACTAAAAGTGGCTTTGCTCACTTATCCATTTAGAGGCCCGGGAAATTATTCACTTGCTCATTCATTCATATTTCAACACCCACCCCCTTCTTCTTTTTTCTTTTTCTTTTTGGTTAAGTGCTGGGCAACTTGCAGAAGGGTTGATGGTTTGAACCCACCTGCCTACCCCGAGGTGCCTCAGAAGACATGCTCAGCTATCTGTTTCCAAGAGGTCACAGCCTTGGCCTGAAGGCCTACGGACTGCAGGTGTACTCTGCACACGCTGAACTCGCTCTAAGCCTGGGGTCTCCGTGGGTGGGAATGGACGGCATGGCAGCTCACAACAAGACCCATTTCTTTGCAGACTCAGGTGCGAGAGGGCGAGAGTCCCTGCCTTCAGGGAGTTAGAGCTGGGGGCAGATTTAAGCGCTGTATCCAGGCTAACCACTGGACTCTCAAATATCCTTTCTCAAATCGGAGACAAGACCCCCGTACTGTTCACAACAAGCTCATGTTCCTTCTCCGAGGGGGACAGGGCAGGGACAGCAGCGATGTTAAGTGAACCCAATTTCAGTTCAAATACACATCTGTATGAGCTTGGGCAAACTGCTCATGTTCTCTGCACCCTACATTTTTTTACTTCAAAGTGTAATTGTGAGGAATAAGTGAGAAAAGCTATATATAATTATTGTCGTTCCTGGAACATAGTAAATGCTCAGTAAATCTGAGTATTTTTTTAATAACTATATTATGGAGAAATAAAAGCCAGCCAAGCTTAAGGACTTGGCTGGCCTCTCTTGGTTAGGCTGCACCTGCTTGCTCCAGGCTAGGGCTCAGCTAGCACCACACTGCTGCCTGCTGAGTGCCTGGCACACTCTTTGGCACTGGAGAGGAACTGGGTCCTGGAGATCCAGCGGTGAAAAGACCGGGAGACTGGGGACCTGGGGGCATGGGGCAGGGCAATGGGGCAATAGTATCGGAGAGAGGTTTTCTCAGCCAACCC